CCCCCTCTTGCTGCCGTGGGTGCAGACAACGGTTCCTTGCGCCCGTGGTTTCACGTGATGATTTTCGCGTTAATTTTGTTTTTTCTCTTTTTTTTTCTTTGTGGCTGAAGGATGGGTTGCTGACGTTTGGTGCTGTAGATTTTGACGGTGCTTTATTTCTGTAAGTGGAGTTGTGTGATATCTGGCACAGAGGTTGATTTATTGCTCCTATGCGTGGTGGAGAGTCTGTGGGGAAGACGAAGGGGGATCTTGCAGGGGCTTCTTCTCAGACGTCGTCGTGCTTGGGGGGCTCTAGTTGGACAACAGTAACACCGTCTAAGCGGTTCGTATCCATGGCGGAAACCCTTTCTTCGTTTCCGGATGGATTTCGAGTGAATGTGCCACGGCAATGTGAACCGAATCCGGAGTTGATGGAAACACCAGTTTCTGCCGCAAATCGGGCCGCCAAACAGAAAGCTTCTATGTTGCATGGGAAACGTGCTCAAGATATGAATAAGGGCCGGCTGCTTCGTGTTTTCACGCGTTGCGAGGCGCCGAGCCTGTGCCGTACCCGGCACAATGACAATGAGGCCACCAGGAGCTGCAGCAGCAAGCATGTTGCTGGTCTTGGGTACTGGACAGTGACATACGTGACTAGGGAGGGTGAAGATGTTGCCTCGTCAAAAGTGGTGCCTCCGAAGCGTAAAGGTCCTTTTTGCTTTGATAGCGTCGTTGGCGCCATTGTGGAAAACGCGGCGCTGCTGAACCTTACTGTGCTGTACATCACATACCTTGACAGGGACTTTGGTGCGTATGCACTGCTTACTTCCTCCACTGTGGAGCACTGTGCTGATGCTTTCCAAGTAGTAGTGGAGTCACCATCGGTTTTGGCTGCAGGTTGTCTCAAGACTAGGTGTGAGATTCGATTGAGGCTTACTGGCTCAGCACACCTCCATGCACCGAAGGCTGCCACGCCTAGTTCTCCTCAAGAACTGATGGACAAGGTTTTTCGAGCGCCTGGTATGCAGTTTCGTGGAGTAGCTGATGTTGGTGCTGCTGTGGGGTCTGACCTGCCGAAGCTCGACGTGTCCCAGTGGAACAGGATTCTCTGTGAGGAGGTCTCGGGACGTGAGGCTCTTTGCTCTGAGGAACGAAGCTGGCGCCTGATATTGGAGGCTAACGAAAAAACTCGTTTGTACTGCGCGCCAAAGGGGAAGAAATCGCAGATGAAACTGCCTGGCTTATGCCCCATCTCACAGCCTACCGTCTTGAATGTACAAGAACGGCGACGGTGGCGACAAAAAGAAAATGCGCAGAAACGGGAGCATGATGTAAAAGAGCATGAACCACAAGAGCAGACGAAAACGCAACAACTGGAACAATGTGATATGCCATCACCACCGTTGCCACGCCCCAGTACGCCGACGCCGCCTTTGAACGCGGAAGGCATTTTGCCGGTCATCACGCCACTGTGTATAGTTTTGGAGGGTGAAAAGTGGGGCTCGCTGCTTAACGATGATCGAAGGGAACTGTACGAGGCTATCATGCAGGATGTCTCCTCCTGCCTAGGCATTCCAAGTGGAGACGTCATCATGGACCGCGGCGAGGCGAATTCCCCCACAGTGGAATTTACGGTGCGGCACGACGGTACACTCAGCGAAACGCAACTACAAAGTGAGATTGCCGTGCACGAGTTTCCAAACACGAGTGAGCTGTACGCTCTGTTCTCCTGTTCGTCACCAGACTGTAAGAGGCTGTGAAGAGCATGTGAGAGAGGTCTATATTAGCGAAACCCCACGGCCACGCCCCACGCTGCGCAGATGACTTATGCGGTGGAGGCGATGTCTTATTCGGGGGGGGGGGAGAGAGAGTGCGAATGGGGTACTCCTTTTTCTTGATAGCAGTTAATATCAGTAACGGGGAGGTATGGCGTGGCTGAATATGAGTCCATCTTACGCCAGGTGTGCTCACACGCATCTGAAATAGCTGTGGGGTGCCCTATGGCTGCCACGGGCAAGGCTTTTGCTTCCTTTGCATATGTGCTTCCTTCTGTGGGGAGTGAACAGTGCCGTCACCAAATGATTGACGGGTCGCACTACACGACACGAGTTCGGATGTGTATCTTTTTTTGTTCTTCTGGATTTAGCCTTCTTTCTTCCATAACTCTTCCATGAATCTGCGGCGTGACATTTTCCTCCGTGCAAGAAAATCTGCGGCGACTTCCTTCTATTCTCAGTGGCAGTGCCTCCTGTGTACCCCTCACTGGTCGCAAAGCAGCAAAGCAAAAAAAAAAAATGAAATTGAATTCATATTTGTCTTTCAAGCTTGTCGATGTCAATGAAATGTAAGTATCGCTGGGCGTTAACGTTGCTGCTGTGAGGCGATTCGGGTTGTGTGCTGCTTCCACCCATCACCACGCTTCTTATTTATTCTACAGACTCACTGCCGTTTCTTCTTCCTCCTTCTCCTCCTCCCCCCAAAAAATCTTAATCTCGTCGGCTACCGTTCTCTTCCTGCAGGGGCACGGGCTCTGTAGGCGCAAACAACAAACAAATAAACAAGCAAAACAACTTTGTTTGTCGCGGTGCAGGTCGATTAGCTCGTTTTATGCCGCCGAAAGGCTACGCACGGCGCGGCCCCTCTGCGGCTTCCGCAGGGAAACGGGATCTCGCTGCCACTGCAGCGTTTGGACTCTCCAGCGAGAGTGACAGAGCGGCGTCACCTGCGCAGTTGCAGCAGCTGCAGCAGCGCCGTGAAGCCCTTGAGCGCCACCTGGAGACACTCGACCTGCGCGTGTACGAGCTGGAGACGGTGTATCTCGGGCAGTATGTGGAGTTGGGCGGTTGCCTTTTTGACGGATTTGGACTGGAGCGGCAGCAGCAATGGTGCACCACTACTGCTACTGCGAACACCGGAAGCCAGGCCGCGGCTTACCGTGCGCGGCTGCGGAGCTTTGCGCCAAACGACCGTGTCTTCACTGCGTCGTCTGTGGGGGCGCTCGGTGTGGTGGAGCGGCTCAAGTCACTCGAGGCGGTAAGTGGCAGAGGGCGGAAGCGCTCGCGCAGCGACATTTAAGTGTTTCTTATTGTGTGTTTGTGCGGGGGGGATTTATTGTTAGGTGTATATATATATATATATATATATACACCTGTGTGTGTATGAGTCTGCATAGTGCCCGAGGCTGCTGCTTCACGCTCTGCTGCTGGCATCACTTGTGTTCTCTCTCCCCCCCGCCATCTGTGTGCGTTTGTGTTGCCTTAGGAAGGTGCAAGCGTGTTTCGTTGTCCCGCGCGTTTGGCGTCTCGCAAGGCACAACTCAGTTGCGACAAAAGTGGCCGAGGGAGTGAGACAGACACACACATACATACAAGAAGGGAACAAGACACGACAAGAAAAGGAAAAAGTATTAAAGAAAAAAAACAAGGACGAATCGAAAGGCAGTTTGCTGTGAGTTCGCGTAAGTCGTGGAGTAGCTAACACTAAACCCACGTGTACTAATAAAGAACGAAAGAAACAAACACGAAAAAACAACCAATTTATTACAGCGTCGCCACATCAGTTGCTGCTTGCCAATGACGTCGCAGCTCGCATCACAGCTGCAGAAGCTGCAGCAGCGGCCGGTGGGGGACAAGCGGCTGGCGCAGTCCTTTCTCTTCGACGCGAGTGAGGCACGCAGCTTTTCACGCGAGCAGATCCACCAGCTCGCCGTACACGGCCTGAATACCCTCACTGCCATCGACAACCGCTTCCATCCGTTCCTTGACGAGCTGTTTCATCCACACAAGACGCGTACAGAGCGCAAGCTGCTGAGTGCCGAGGAGAATCGTACCCTTGACGCGACGCTGGAGCAGTTCCTCACGCTGCTCAGCCCCCACTTGCTCCTGACGGCCGCACACCAGGTCTTCGAGTATCTCGTGCGTGTGCATGAGGTTCACGTGTACAATGTGGCGGCAGTGCTGCGCACGTTCCTGCCATACCACGACCACAGCCTCTTCGCTCGTCTTGTGCTGCTGCTGGACTTGCGCGACACTGGCTTTGCGTTCCTCGAGAAGAACCAGGAGCATGGCGCCCCGCTGCTGCGGGAGCATTTGGTGCTGGCGTGCGCAGAGAGCCGTAAGGCGCTTCGACTCGTCTGCCTAACGCTTGCTATGTCGGTCCGCATGAGGGTGCACAACAGCGCAGCAAATGCGCTCTTCACAAGCGTGGCGGTGCGGCTCGCCTCGCACCACGACGCGGAGGCGTTGTGGCGTGTGCTGCTGCCGTTCATTGTTGAGTTCATGAGCGGCGCCGCGTCGGGGGCGGAGCGGGGTGACGCACAGCGGCAGTCGTGGCTGCAGGAGGACGCGCACG